AATTTCCAGGGCACTTAGCAAGCATTTTTCATCCCACAGAGAAAGCTGCAGAGCTAACAGTTTTGACAGCTTTCTAAAGAGCAGTCTTTAATATACAGTATCTTCACCATGACCTCGAAGGCATTTGCAAGCTCGAAAGAAATTATATAACTATTTCACATGTTGACACTGGGGACTGCAGCAGCAAGACTTCCAGCTGCTCCTAGAAAAGGGTTTACATTAATTCATAAGAGGCGAAGGCATATCCGTTTGTCTCCTCTGGAGCTCTGCAAGCAGCTGTAATTCCAGCACAAGTGAAGTACCTCATGGCTTCCCAACTTGCCAGGAAACATACAATTGTAAGAAGATTCACAGATGAGTTATGCTAAATGTTTGGTATTGTGACCTGTGATGCAACACAAAAGAATGGTTGTTGTTGCCTAAACTTTAATGGAGTTAATCCTTCCAAATGCTGACAAATTACTGCCTCAGGCCATTTAAAATCACATTTCTAATGCAATAATCCTATCTGCATTACAATGAGTTGGGATGAAATGATTAGGTGACTGAGATTTTTTTGCACAGTGAATTAAGTCACCATACAGACTGGCCGTGCTTGTTCACAAATTAAAGGTCTGGACGGAAATGAAATTCCATTATTCTGCCACTCGCTAAGCTTTGAGGAAGGGTTCATTACTGTCCTGTCTCTACTGGGAGTGTTTCTAAAGCAGCTACAAGCTAAAGGGAACCTGTTTTTCATTAGATCAGCTTGGGGGCTTTCTTCATTATTAATAATTATTAGTGAAGTCTTTGACCACTGAACTCTCCCGAAAGAAGAGGCTAATTCAACAACATGCAAGCAAAAAAAATGAGACAGTGTCAGTAAATTCGTGACAAAGAAACAAAACTTTACACTGAATGCAAGTCCTTTCCTTCCTTCTTCACAGACACACTGTGCTCAGAATTTACCCACTTCTTATACTCAGAAGCATAGACTTTTTAGCTATGGGATAGTCCACAATATAAGCCACTCAACATCAGTGCTATCCATCTCTACCATTTAAAGTAGTATCCTTACTTACCAACACGATCACAACACGCCTAAACAGCTATTCATATCTACACACTCAAATTACCTTTATTTACATGCTCTATCCAGCATTTTTGGAATCCTGTACAAATTCATAACCACTAGCTGAAGAGTATTCTTATTAGCATTCAACCGCTTATTTATACACAATATAATTGGACACACATCAATATAGTAAGTCTTCAATTGTTAAATGCCCGTGAGGTTAGTGTTCATTGAAGACAGGTGATTTCATTCATGGCAAACATCTCTCATACAAATTCTGATAAATAGGGAATATGATGCCATAACTTCCTATGCTAGAATTTTGTCTGGTGCCCTTCTGAAAATACAGCCTAAGTAAAACCTTAAAATTCAAAAAAAAAAAAAAAATGTATTAGTAATGTTTGAGGCAATCTTTCTCATCATGCAAATGTAGCATAAACCCCACCAGCAACAACCACCAAATGCTCCAATATGTCCTCAGAGTACAACTATACCAACCACCTGTGCTAGTCATTTCTCACAGGCCTGCTTCACATGGGGGATAGAATAAGATTTAATTCTCATAAAACATAACCCCCTTGTATGCACATAATTGCTGAACATCATTAAGTCATATTTGTATCACAAGAGGAGGAAGAAAGAAACAATAAGGTTTCAGCACTTTTCTTTTTGCTATTGGCAGGGAACCTGGTATTTTAAATGGTTAAAATAAGTTAGCACAACCATAATTATATATTCTCCACCTTTGTGCCTCACAAAAAAAAAAAAATTCATCCTGTTGACATATTAGGAGAGAATGTTTCTATTTGAAACTGGAAGCTCAACACCTCAGCATTAACAATCAGCTAGTCAGAAGCAGTTTGCTCTAGGTTGTGTGGCTTTTTCTCAGTCAAATGAAAAACTTCGGTACATAATTTCATGCATAAAGCCTGGTCTGTGTATGAAGCAATTAAGTATACCAGTGCAGTTTACAGACACACAAACCTTTATGTGATTGCACACACAGAAAACATCAATGTAGATTCACATCTGGGTAGTTACTGTAGGTTTCAGTATCTGCTACTAGATATAGCCTAAAACATATAAAAAGATAAACTTTCATATTCTGCTTGTTCTGTAATACACAATATCCCTGATCATATTTATTTCTAAATACAGTATAAATGTGGAACAGGTGCCACAAAATGCATCTGTAACACTAATGATATTTCTAGGCAGTCTTCAACAGCAACAACACAAAATATGTAAGTCAGATCTAGGTGACCAGATGACAGCAGATAGATACATTTTAAATGGTTCATTTAATTGTTCTAATAAAGGCATATTGCCAATTAGCTGTATCCCATGGGCGCCACAGTCTTGAATTGTAAGACACTTTGCAAGTTCTGAAGGAATACCCAGAATCAGAAATGCTCCTTCTTCCACTAAGTGGCAGGATCCATTCCACACCCAAAAAAACTATTTCCATAGCAGCAATCAAGAGCACACCTCATAGAACTCTGAAAAATTCCAGCTCCATTAAATGCAGTGTGGTGGACTCCTGCCTCAACCCAACCCAAACCAAGTTCTCCCCAGACAAAGACAGATTTTCACATTCTTGAGAGCCTCTCTACATCTTGCCCTCGGAGGGCAACTGTGTTATTGAGGCACACACCTGCAAAGGCCGCTCACAGGCCCTGACAGAGCCCACCCCAGTGCCTTACTTTCCCCAAAGCAGACACTGAAAAAGCTACCCGATGACACCAGCAAAAACAGACTTGCAAGACCATCACAGCTGGTCCAAAGAAATCAATGGCACTACCCATGATGTCTGTATCTCGCATCACCTAGGACAAAGCTTCACTCTGCTGGGCAGCACCTGCTGAAGCCAAAAATCACAAGGACAGAAAGTTCTTAATAGTCACAAGCAAGCCAGAAAGGATCAGAGAAAGGGGTAGGTACTTCAGCAAACAGTCAGAGCCAGCAGCACTCATGCACAGAAAAGAACTGTGTGCAAAAGGCTGGAGTATCTCAATAGAAATGAGCCTGCAAGTACTATTGAACATAGCAAATAGGGCAGAGGGTCCCACAAAGACCACCTTACTTGTGCCTCCTTCCTTGCCTCTACATGCACAGATTGGATAGCAATGGTTTTGTAAGTGGTACTCCTATAGAACTGGAAGGTTTGGAAAGGAGGTGTAAAAAGAAAAAAAAACTGATAGGTCAGAGTGGCTAAAATAGAGAAGTAAGGCTTACTACTGATACAAATGAAGACTAGCCTGTACAACAGCATCAGCTAAACGTAGTGAACAACAGAATAAATAACAATAGTAATACAAGGGTAACATCTCAGGAAGGCTATGTCAACCACTACTGCAATAAGGGAACACTGTGCAAACCTTCACATGATGGCAAAATTTCTATTAACACTGTCTTTATGCTAGTTTTATCCTCCCCTCCAGCCCTAATCTCTGTTATTCTGGTGGCTCCCGTATGGGTATCAGTAATTTCCCACCCATGTTCACAGCTGGCAATCACTGCCAAATCACACAGCCTGAAATTTGTGAAGATTTTGGTACAGGGCCAGTTTACAGTGAATCAACCATGTATTAAATGGTTAAATGTATTATTAATTTTGGTGGTTCCACCTTTCCCTTTTCATGAATAATTCAGTTAAGTCAGCTCTTGAGACAAGGTAACAACCAGCCCTTGAGTCTTTTGTTCATGAGAGCACCAACTCCCTCTCAAAAGCACATAAATAAATAATGGAGAGTACAACAAAACAGCAATACCAGGGATCCTTTCTCAGCAGTCGGCTCTTTTCCACTATACCTCTTTATTGTAACCACTAATGAAAACTCTTTGAAGTGGAAGAGTAAATATTTTCATTTGATAGTACCTGGACCAACAGGGCAAACAAAATTGTATTGTACTACATTCCAGCAGCTGTAGACCCATTCACAATACAACACTCACAGAGTTGCTATGGAGGAACCCAGTGCTTACTATTTTGGTAGCATGAGGTCAGCCAAGGGCTTCTGGTCACTCGTTTAGGGCTGTTAGCCCTAATTTTTCTATGTGCAACAAACAGGGAAAACAAAAAACAGTGCCCAAAAAAACAAACCCAAGGATTTTCAGAGTATGCTTTTGGAGGTACCAAATTCCCCAACAGAGGCAGAAAGCAAACTTCCAGCTGTATTCTGGATCAGTCAGCTCTTAAAACCTGGTGCCAAATATCAGGCACACATATCACACAAATACATCCTCTTTAGACACAGGATTATTAAACCCAACGTTCAGGGTCCTGCAGCTTCAAGTATTTTCAAGTACTCTTAAGAATTTTTAAAATAAATAAATAAATAAATAAAAATTCAGCACTTCTCTATAGCAGAGAAGCATCAGCAAGTTATCCTTCTTTTAATGACACCCGAGAGAGCTGGGTTCAATACCACACTCTGCTACAGCCTCCCTGGGTGACCTTTGGGCTCACACAGCATTTCACTGCCTCATCTGAACCCGGAGCTACAGGGGAGTCTCTCCCTCAATGGAAGTAGAGACCACCGGCACCAGACCATACATACACAGCTTACCACTAAGTTGGCTGCCAAGTCTCAGGGTATTTTGTAAATCCATCCTGTAGGGATCAAAGATAGCAGAAGGGGAGGGGGGCAATGACTTCCATGTAGCATTCCCACCCTTACTTACCCCCCACTAGGAAAAAAAAAAAAAAAAAAAAAAAAACAAAAACAAGCACTCAGGAAATACCACAGAACCACTACCAGTGCAATGAAAGAGGGAGACAAGAACTGAGCTGCAGGGACTGTCACAGATGCCCCCGGAAGCCTGGCAACCCTCCGGAGACAGAGGCACCCTTCTCCACATGAAGCAGGAGGACGGGATGGGAAAAGGGAACAAGACCAAGAAGGGGAGAACACAAATAAACCCAAAGCCCTCAGCGGTGACACCGTCAGTGAGGAGCCCAGATAGCCGACAGCCCCAGCGGCTGTAGGAGGCGGCTCCAAGCACAGGGATGCCCCGCTCCCCTCGCCGCTTCGCTCACCTTGCTGCTGACGGGCCCGGGGATGAGAAGCTTCAGCGCCTGCCTCTTCAGCTCCGCCAGGCGGGCGTTGCAGTGCTCGCACCAGACGCCGCGGTCCGAGCCCGGCGAGGAGCCGCCGCCGCTGCCGGAGCCCGGCGAGCCGGTGCCGAAGCCCGGAGAGCCTCCCAGCGAGCCAGGGGAGCTGGTGCCGATGCCGGGCGAGGCAGGTCCCGGGGAGCCAGTGAAGGAGCCCGGCGAGGACGTGCCGGAGCCTGGGGACGGGGTGCCGGAGGAGCCCAGGGCAGAGCCGGCTCCCTCCGGCGCCGGGCGACCGCCCGCCCGGGACTCCTCATACGCCTTCCTGTACCAGCTCTCGGGGGAGAAGGGAGCGGCGGGCTTGGTGGGGGAGCAGGGGTCGGTCACCTGGAGCGGGAGAAGGAGCAGCGGGTCAGGCAGGGAGGCCCAGCGGCGCCGCTAAGTTTCGCTCGGACGCTCCGCGCCCGCGGCGGCCCCCGCGCCTCCCCCGCCCGGAGCCGCTGCCGCCCCGCACGGCGGAGCTTGCGCGGGGCGGGAGGGCGATCACCAGCAGCCGACGGGCGCGGGAGCCCCAGCACGGCGGCGGCCACCGCTCCGAGCCGCCCCTCCTTCGACAACTTACCCCGTATTTTCTGCTCCGAGCCGTGACTGCAATCCTCTCCTTATTTCCAGCCACTGAATTCATGGTGGCTTCGTAGGGAGGCGGGAGAATTTCCTACAGGTTTCCCAGTCCGCATCCGAAGGGAATAGCCGGTCCCGGGAAGTCCCCCGAGGAGCGGGCAGGCTTGCTCCCGCCTCCGACGGAATCACTCAGCCACAAAACACCCGTCAGTTCTCAGGAAAACGCTTGGGACTGGGGTTTTCTCCCGGTCGGCTTTTCTTCATTGTCTTCCCTCTCATTCCCTTACAACCCTTGTTTTCACAGAAATAGCAACATCCAGAGTAGGAACTATCCCCCGGCAGACAGCAAAGCTCTTATCCGCAAGTAAGGCGAAGCATCCAAGGTAGCACTAGAAAGGCAAAAGAAGAAGTGGGAGCCGGGCTCTCCGCCTCCGTTACATCGGCAACTTGTTCCCTTCACCAAGGTTTGTAACTGAGTTAAAAGAAATCCTCCGAAAATATCGGGATCCAGGCTCTGGGAGGAGCCTCCGCGTCCCTTGCAGCCAATATCCTCCTGCCCATTTGTGCCTGACAGTTTTGCAAGGGAGGGAAGGGAAGACCCGGGCTGCGGAGCCCCGTGCGCTCCCTGGTCAGCGGCGGAGCTGCAGGGCCAGCGGCTGCGAGCAGACTGCCAGAGCCTCACCGCTGCTCTGCGCGGTGCCCCGGCTGACGGGAGGGTCCATTTTATTTTGCAGTATTTCTTGATTGACATCTGTGATTTCCCCCCGTTCCTGCAAAGGCGGGCGGGTGCCGGGGGTTGGGGAGGGGGGGGAAAACCTTGTTGCTTTCGCCGCAGTTATTGGTTAGTTGCCTCTATTTGGGCTTTATTCACAAGTGTTCCCAATCTTCCCTAAATAACTAGGAAAGAAAAGCAAGCTGTATTTATGACAGTCAGTGGCATCTCTTTTCTTTGTTGTAATTTTAAATGTTATTCATTCAACTTGCAGCCAAGGGCATAATAAATTGATCTCTTAACAATGAAATTCTCCAGACTTGTGTCCCTGTTAATCTTTTCCTTCTAATTATGATTTCTAATTGATGGTCATGTGTATCTAGTTACATATCTTATTTTATTTCAAATCCTGTAGATAGTAAAATCATCTCTAATAAATCTTCCCTCTCAAAACAAGTTGCTCATTTTCTCAGAAATGGAGGCAATAAAGAGCTAAATGTCAGATCCCCTGATAGGGTCATAACATGGATAGGTTGATGCAGATGAGAGGGCAGAACACACAGGGGACTTGCATCCACCTTACCAACCTCCTATTGTTGCTTCCATATAAATGCATCCTTCCAGCATCCCTAGTGTACCTGGGCCATAAAAGCCGCGAGGAAACAAAACCAGCATCACTGAGCAAGGAATCTCCCAGTCCCTGTCTGTCTTCACAGATACTCTGACAATAGTAAAGATGTGTAAGATGCTCTGCTGTGTTGTAACTTCAGTACGTTATCACCCTTAGAGTGGAACAGCCATTCCATTCATATCAGGAAAGCTTTAACCTAAAGCTGACACAAGTGATGCCATCCAAGATAGCCAGGCTACATCGGTAGTGCTTGTGCGTTTACGTGGGTGACCCCAAAAATTTGAACAAACGGGCAAACAAAAGGAGGTGCACCCCAGCTGCTGTTGCATGCGAATAGGTTTCACATAAATCCGCATGCGGAAATCCCGTGGTTTGCTCTGTAGGCAGACGTGATAGGGATGACAAGGTAAGGCAGGGGAATGCCGTGCGAGCCGGCAGCAGTGCAGAGCAGCGCAGCCTCCGCTGGCCCCACGGCGCCGACGAGGGGCCGCTCACACTGCGGCGTGGAACTGCTCCTTCTCTGGGCTCGGCGGTTCTGGTGGCGAGCTGGCAGATTTCCTTTGTTTTTCGGCAGACCTCCAATTCCCAAGCTGCCAGCTATGCCAGCTATGCCTGCCTAACCACGCGTGCTGCCAGGGACCGCCGCCCCGGGCGCAGCGCAGTGCCCGCGGGCGATCCTGCGGGCAGGGCCGGCCTGATCCTTCCAACGGGTGCGCTGGGTCCAGCCAGGACCGGGAGGCTCTGCCGGCCGGCACCCCGGGCTGCGCTCTCCGTACAGACCCTGGGGCCGGGGCAGCGGGCGGACGCCGGAGCGGCAGCGCTGACCACGGGCCGGCGGGGCAGGGGCGGCACGGCGGCTCTGCGGGCCCCCGGCTGCCGGGCTGGGGGAGCGCGGAGGGCGGGCACCGTCCCGCGGGAGGCGAGGCGGGATGAGTGGCTGCGCTCCTTCCCGGCTCCAGCGGGCAGGACCCCTGTCCGGGACGGTGCCTCCCTCCGGGCCCCGGGAGCCCCCGCAGCCGGGCGGGGCGGGCCGGGCTGGGCCGGGCCGGGGCGCGGCCCCGCGGCGTTCACGGGCGGCGCGCGCCCCCTGCCGGCGGCCGTGAGGAACCGGGCGGGGACGGGGCGACACCGCCCCTCCTTCGGGGGAGGGTCCGCCGAGCCGGGGCTCCCCCGGGCACGGCTGCGAAGGGGTGCTGGAGCGTGCCTTTTCCCTGGCGGAACTCCGCCTAGGAAGTGTAGGACAGTGCGGGCTGCCCGGCTGGGTGAAGGCTCCCGCAGCATCCCAAAGGAGATGGGTTCACACCCAGGCCTTCGGGAGGCAGCGGCAGCCCGGGTGATGTTGTCTGCAACAGCGTGGCTGAAGGGGTGCTGGAGCAGATGGAGTAGCCCAGCAGGAAACGAGTGGAACCTATACACACAGCAGGATCTAGAGGAGAGGGGCTTCCTCGGCCCGTAGCTGATGGCTAAGTTTGGTTGGAAATTAAGTAGGGTCAGGACTGGTGAGGAAGAAGACCACCCCTAATCAGGAAATTGGGACCTCAGGACACGATGAAATTGTTATTTGAGCCTGAAGAGGCTCAGTAGCAAATCTGCATTTCCTCATGTCTCAGGTTTGGGGGAACTGTTAAGAAGGTGCATTGGAAGAGCACCTCTCACAAATTGAGGGTTTGCATATTTATTGGGCAATAGCTCTGCTGGATCAGCTCTCCCTCCTGATAGGTGTCAGTATTTACTGATATTTTGGGTCATTCAAGAAAGGCTTTACTAAACTGTGAACACTTTCAGAAGCTGAGGGACATTCCACATTCCAGTTTGAGGTATTTTGCTGCTAAAATCTTTCCAGTTATTTTGTGCTGGACAATGTATGGGACACTATAGTATCACTCTACTGAGATGCTCAGCTAAGAACCCTTTCTCTGGAATAACACCTCTCTCTCTGAGAAGTGTTGCGGAATGGCTTTCTCCCTCTTTTTAGGCTCCCTTATGTGGAAGTTGGTTTGCATTCCTCTTACAAAAATCTCACGCTCCATGTGTCACTAATGAAAGAAGATTAGTTAGCAGAATCACCAACATGCCAATGGCAGGCAGCTCCACAGCTACCTCTCAATTTCAAGCTTACACATTCTTTCTGTTATTATAACTGTAGTCACGGGAGTCTGCCTTCACCTTAGTCCTGGTAAATCATTTATGCTAGCAGTTTAGAAGTTAGACTGATTGTTCGTCTTAGTTCAAAACAGAGCTGAAAAAATGGAGCTGTTCAGACATTTATAAGTAAGTGGACAAGATCCAAACCTTGGATGCAGGCTTAAGTATCAGAGGTTTGAGCAAAAGCTGGTCTCAAAGCATTGTGGCTGGACTTTGATCTTGATCTAAATCTGACACATCTGTGGAGTGTTATGACCTGCCTTTTAGCAAGTCTACAAACTTCCAGTTTCTCCATCCCACTGCAATGCATTTGACACGGTGTACTATCCCTCTGCTGCCTTCACTGGATATCTTCTGAGTATTTCTCAGTGTGGGTGCGATTAAATCTGACCTAGAAGTTCAGCTTCATCACTCAAATCTAAGATGCTGGCACAAGCCCAGTTCTATCCATAAACAGTAGTTTTTGAGAGCTGGAAATGTTGGCTGCATCAAAGAAATCCTTTGAGGTATTCACATTTATAATAAATTTCAGGATAAAAAAGGTGACAGCAACTGTAACTTGAAGAGTCATTGCTGCCTGCACAGAAGCTTTTTTTTTCCAGGTTTGGTGCTAATAAGTCTCAGTATCAGGTCTTACTTACAATTTTAAAAAGCTTCCTTGGGGAGATTTGAAATGCACGACAGCTTCAATACTTGCTTAGAGCTGCATATTAATGAGCTGGAGTCCATTGGGGGACAGCAAGGAAATTGAAGGCATTTGTAGTAATACTGACAAAGAATTAATTGTAAAGATAGAAGCAGCTAATCATTAAAAGCTACAAATAAAATCACCAGAACTTTCCCAGTTTGATATGTTTGTTTTTTTCTCTAAAACCATTCCAGTTCTTGTTCTCTTCCCCTTGCCCAAAATACAGGACCTTTTCAGCAAAAAACCCTAGCATATCAAGCAAATTAGGTCCCTTATTCTTTTGTATAGCCCACACATGAGCAGAAACACATACAGCCACAGCCCAAGTATTCTACAGGGTTTATGAATACATGCAGCACAGAAGGAAATCAGCTATATGGAATGCCTTTGTATTTCTGGCGTTGTGGATTATGTTCCTTCCACAGTACCTGGTATATACTATGCTTCTGCACTGTATTTTTCTACTTGCTCTTGACAATTGTAAAGCATGATGTCATGGAGAATTAAGGGTGGGCGTTTCCTCTGTATGAGCTGGCTGCCGAGGTGTTTGCTGTAGCATGATTTCTAAATCAGTCCCAAGATTTACCTTGTGTGTCAGTGTAAAAGTCAACTGACACTGGAAAACATGTGCTTCTCAGTCACTGCTACAATCCCTAGTTCTGGATGGTGTATCATGGACAGGGAACCCTCTACGTGGTCCTTATTACAGCTCCTACTTATTGCTGTTACCAGCAGACCTGAATCAGTCAACTTTGAATGTCATTTTTCCACCTCGAAACAACAGCACAGTTTTACTCTCTGCCTGACAGGGGTACATCTCCTTGTTTGCTTAGTTTAGTCCTTTTGACTCAGGGCCATTGCACAGGTGTTTAGCCTGTACTCTTCTTGCTCCACTGAGAGCCTCCTTGAAAATCTCCAGAATCTTAAAAGAAGCCATTTGTGTTCAAATTTGGACAAAGAGTTTCATTTGTTGTAAACCAGTTGCCTTTAAAACTTACCCTTGTCCACTACCAGAAGCAATCTGTTTTCCACAAAGGGACCTGTCTATTTGGATTCATTTCTAATGGAATTTTTTTCTATATCTCAAATGTAAAATGTTTCATAGATTTTTCTAGAAACTGCTGTCGTAGTTTCTGCCACACAGCGCTGCCTACTTCCATAAATCTTTATGTTCTCAGCAAAAATCAATATGTCTACTTATTTATACAATATTGATATGTTTTTCATAAGTACTAAAGGATGCAGTGTCATGCACATACATATACTCGCACAGCAGGGTTGCATGGAGAAGTTTGCAGTCATTTTTATGCAGTAGGGTGCATTGCAATGACAAGTCTGCAGCCAATTTTGGTTAAGTTCATAAATTCAAATACTGAAATTTGACAGAATCCCATTTTCTGTTTCTCAGGCGCAATGAGCATTCATTGGAACTCCAGAACTAAAGACAGGCCTGAAAAATGGAACAAAGGGGGAAGTACCTGTGAATCGCAAAGCACCAGGCCCTAGCAGTGCAGATATTACGTAGAACAGCAACAAAGCAACAAATTACT